CCTTCTGTCACCACACAGAGTTCTTATGACATTATTGACTATATTCCCTATGATGTACATAAAATCTCTGCAACTTCTTTATTTTATAACTGGAAATTTGTCTCTCTTAATCTTCATTGTTGCCCATCTGCCCCCCACCCCCACTGGCAGCTAGCAGTTTGTTCTCTGTTTCTGAGTCTGTTTCTGTTTTGTTTTGCTTGCTCATTTATTTTTACCTTTAGATTCTACATATAAGTGAAATCATACAGTATTTGTCTTTCTCTGTCTGACTTATTTCACTTAGCATAATACCCTCTAGGTCTAATCATGTTATCACAAATGGCAAAATTTCAATCTTTTTATAGCTGAGTAATATTCCATTGTGTGTATATGTATATATACACATATACACATACATATATATGTATATACACACACATGTGTATGTGTATATATATCTACACATACATATATACACATATGCATGTGTGTATATACATATATATACACATATATGTATGCGTATATATATATACACACACACACACCAGATCTTCTTTATATATATATAAATATTCCAGTGTATGTGTGTGTGTGTATCATATCTTCTTTACCCATTCATCTGTTGATGGACACCTAGGTTGCTTCCATATCTTGGCTACTGCAAATAATGCTGCAATGAACATAGGGGTGCATATATCTTTTTGAATTAGCGTTTTTAATTTCATCAGATAAATGCCCAGAAGTAGAATTGTTGGATGTATGGTAGTTCTATTTTTAGGAACCTCCATACTGTTTTCCATAGTGGCTGCACTAATGTAGAAATTCACCAACCGTGCATGAGGGTTCCCTTTTCTTCACATCCTCACCAACACTTGTATTTGTGGTCTTTTTGATAATAGCCATTCTGACAGATGTGAGGTGATATCTCATTGTGGTGGTCAGTGATGTTGAGCATTTTGTCATGTGCTTATTGGCAATTTGTATATCTTTACTGGGAAAATGTCTATATAAGTCCTTTGCCCATTTTTGAATTGGGTTGTTTGTTTTTTGTTGTTGGGTTTTAAGAGTTTTCTATATATTCTAGATATTAATCTCATATTAGATATATGATTTGCAAATACTTTCTCTCATTCTGTGGGTTGCCTTTTTACTCTATGGTTACTTTTTTTATGCACAATTTTAAAAAATTTTCATGAAGTTCGATTTGCCTAATTTTTCTTTTGTTATCTGTGCCTTAGGTGTCGTATCCAAGAAATTCTTGCCAAGTCCAGTGTTGTGAAGCTTTTGCCCTGTGTTTTCTTCTAAAAGTTTTATTGTTTTAGGTCTTACAATTAGATCCTTGATCCATTTTGAGTAAATTTTTGGTATTAGGTAAAGGCCCAACTTCATTCTTTAGCATGTGGATATTTTCTCGGTACTGTTTATTGAAAAGACTGTTCTTTTCCCCATTGAATGATCTTAGCACCATTGTTCAAAAATCATTTGATCACATATGTTAGGGTTTATTTCTTGGCTCTCTGTTCTATTCATATATGGTATATGTCTATCTTTATGCCAATACCACACTGTTTTGATAACCATAGCTTTGTAGTAAGTTTGAAATTAGGAGTGTGAGTCCTCCAGTTTTGTTCTTTTTAAAGATGGTTTTGGCTATTTGAGGTCTCTTAAGAGTCCATATGAGTTTTAGGATGGAATTTTCTATTTATTATCACTATGTATTTTTAAGGATATAATTTTTCCTTTGTTCACTGATTAAATGTCTCATTTATTTTGATAACTAATGCTTTTATTATCTTTTTTTCCAGAAATTCTATAATTTCTGTTTGTATTTTCCTTTCATCCCAAAGATGTTTAATAGAAGGTTTATAAATTTCTAGGTGGAAAGGATTTTTATTTTTTATTTTACAAAAATTCTAGTTTTATTGCATTATAATATTAGAATCAATATTTCTGCTTCATGGAACTTAATATTTTCTTTCATTTAATATATGATCGATTTTTGTAAATGTTCCATGTGCTCTTGAGAAGATATATTCTCTTTTATTAGGAATAGTGCATGATATTTCCCCTCATATGTTTTGCCTTATTAATATGTTTAGATCTTCGATATCTTATTTTTGTCTATTTGATCTGCCCTATACTGAAAGCAGTATGCTAAAGACTCCTATTACTAGTGTGATCCTGCCTATTTTTCCTTGCCACTCCTGTAGTTTCTGTTTTATATGGGTACTTCTCTGTTATTTGGTGTGTGTATATGTTCATAACTATTATGTATTATAATATGTCTTCTAGCATTAAAAACCGACCCTGTTTAATGAGTTTTTGCTAAAATATACTTTATCTGATATCAAGATTGCAACCTCTTGTTTCTTATACCAGACATTTCCATTTGTCTGGTATATTCTTGTCCATCCTTTTATTTTTAGCCGTTTTGAATTACTTTTAAGTGTTTTTCTTATATGCAGCACATAGTTGGGTTTTGCTTTATGAACTAATTAAAATTTTTAAAAAATTTAGTAAGCAAGTCATTCCCATTCTTATTTCTTGAAATGCTTGATATGTTTGATCTCAACACTGTCATATTATTACATTTTACTGTGTGTATTATAATTACTGTGTGTATTAGTTTCCAAGGGTTGCAATCGCAATTCGTCACAGATTGGATAACTTAAAACAACATAAATTTACTCTCTCACAGTTCTGGAGGTTAGAAGTCTAAAATCAAAGTGTTGGCAGGTTCATGATCCTTCTTGAAAGCTCCTTCAAGTCTTCTAAGGAAGAACTCTTCCTTGCTTCTTCCTCCCTTCTGGTTGTTGCCAGTAATCCTTGGCATTCCTTGGCTTGTAGCTATATCACTCTAATTTCTTCCTCCGTCTTCACATGATTGTCTTTCCTCTGCATGTCTACATTATTGCATTTGAACCGCTATCACAGAATACCATAGACTGGGTGGTTAATAAGCAACAAACATTCATTTCTCACAGTTCTGGAGGTTGGAAAGTACAAGATCGAGTCATCAGTAGATTTGGTGTCTGATGTTGGCCTTCTATCAATTCATAGATGGCTGTCTTCTCACTGTGTCTTCACATGGCAGAAGGGGTAAAGGGGCTCCCTTGGGTCCTATGGAGGCATCAATCTTATTTATGAGAGCTGTGCCCTCATGACCTAATCACCTCCCAAAGATCCCACCTCAGAATACCATCACATTGGGGATTAGGTTTCAGCACATAAATTTGGAGAGTACACAAACATTCAAATTATAGTAGTGTCTGTGTCCAAATTTTCTTCTTATAAGGATACCAATCATTGAATTAAGGCCCACCTTAATCTAATATATCTTAACTTGATTACATCATTGCAAAAAAAAAAAAAAGACCTTATTTGCAGATAAGGCTACATTCACCGGTTCTGGGTAGACATGAATTTTGGGGGACATCATTCAACCCAGTGTACTGTGTTTCTTTCTCTATGTGGTATGTCTTCTTTGCTTTTTAAAAAATAGATTTTTTTTTATATATTTAGGAAGGTTTACATATATTTTTTATGGCTGTCATAGTATTTAGTTAATCTCCTTTTCCTTATTCAAACATTTGCTAACTGGTTGTCAGCATTTTTTATTGTGGTAAAATACGCACAACACAATGTTTATCATCTTTCCCTTTTAAAACCACAGTCAGTGCTATTAAGTACATTTGCATTGTTGTGCAACTATTACCACCATCCATCTCCAGAACTCTTTTCATCTTGCAAAACTGAAACTTTAAACCTATAATAACTCCTCATTTTACTTACCCCTCCTCAGCTCCTGGCAACCACCCTTCTACTTTCTGTCTCTATGAATTTGACTACTCTAGGTACCTCATATATGTGGAATCATAGAGTATTTGTCCTTTTGTGATTGGTTTTAGTTTGTCAGTTTTTAATGGCATCCTTTGATTTTTATTTATACCTATACAACTATTATGATCTTATTCTACTTTCTCCTTTATCCCTCCCTACTCCTTCTACTTTTAGTTGCATTGTTTTCATTTTTAATGTTTATGTGTTATTCTTCTGCCCACATCCTTACCTTTATTTTAGTCTGAGATCTAGAATTAAATCTATGAAATACTCACCTCAGTTCTTTCAGTGAAGTTTTCCCAGCCATCTCTTGGTTGGATGAAGCTCATCCACTATTGATTCCTTAGGAAGTAATCATGCGCATAGTATTTTCATGCGCATAGTAATCATGCGCACGGTATTTTCTGAGTTTGTGCAACTTTGTGTAGACCTGATACTTGAAGGACATACTTGCTGAATATAAAACACGTATCTCACACTTCGTTTTTGCTCTTATTTTGCCTTGATTTCTTTATTGTTCTTGAGAAATGTGATGCTAGCCTTATTTTATTATCCTTAAAAGTCACTTGATCTTTTTGTCTCGAGTCTCTGAGGATTTTTTTCTCTATCTTCAATGTCAAATAGTTTTGTTAAGGTATATATTAGAATTAGTTATTCTGTTCCAATTTTTCCAGGCATAGGGTAGGCCTTTTAATATGTACATTTAAATTTTCTCTTTATTCCTGAAAGTTTTCTTGGATTATGGCTTTAAATGTTCTGTTCCATATTTTTTCTTTTAGTACCTTCTGTTATATATATATCGATATTTCTTTGCCTGTCTTTCATTTCACTCCATTTCATTTGATAACTCTTCCATGAAAACAAGATATTAGCCTGAAGAAGAAAAGAATGATTGGTCACTTGCACCTAACTTTGAAATCATCTTAATTATATTGCCTACCTAGTTATATTTTTCATCTATTGTGTTTGTCTTTGGAGCTTTGATCAAAGGTTGTCATTTGATGGGAAAACAGATGTCTACGAGAATTAAGTCTGTTCAAATATGATATACTCACTCCAACCTCATGAAATCAGGCAAGATTTGAGGCTATTTATGGGCCATGACTTGCTCTATAATTTATTTACTGTGATTGTCTTTGCTGTCACATTGGTAATGGGGAACTATTATTCTATCCCAGACCAGATAATCCAAGATAGAAAGAACTCCCTCAAGGACGAGAAGAAGCAGTGTAACACTCAGAAGAAGTACCAGGATTTTCTGGATATTGTCCTTTCTGCCCAGGTAAATCTTTTAAATTTATGAGCCTGCTCATATATCTAGTTAATTGTGAAGGTAGGTGGCTGAATGGGGAAAAACTGATCAACTAAATTTAACAATACTTTTGAATTGATGGGTTGGCTCCATAGGTTTTGAAGTAAAGATAGAATTCTACAACTCTGTCACTAGAGGGAGTCAGATAAGACCAAAATTTTTACTGATTTGACAAAATTTGGTGACTATCATAAAGATACATGGTAGTTCAGGAAAACCAAGAAAAGAGGTCACAGGGTAAGCTGGTAAAATGATGACGAGGAGGAACATCTGGGTAAATCTGTCAGGATGATTGGAGGAACTCTTTGCAAACCCTGCTTTCCGTATCTAACTTTAGTCTTTTATGCTCTTAGCAAAGTGTGGCTCATAGTATATATTTGTTGAAATGAATTAAAATTGAACCTGTCATTGGAAACTATATTTTTTTCTAAAATTATTATTTTTATTGGGGCTCCAAACATCTATTAACTGATGCTGAATAAAAATATCTCTATTGTTCTTTTAGGGTGAAAATGGTGACAGCTTCTCAGACACTGAGCTACGGTCTGAGGTGAACACATTCATGGTGGCAGGGCAAGACACCATGGGAGGGAGCATTTCTTGGCTCCTCTACCACCTGGCTCAGAACCCTGAGCATCAGGAGAAATGCCGGGAGGAGATCAGGAGCATCCTGGGGGATGGGTCGTCCATCACCTGGTAAGATCTCCATCCCTAAATATTAATTCTAGTTCTCCTCCTGGGATTTTGTTTTATTCTTTCTTCTGGTACCTTGGTGACGATAGTGCCTCAAGATATGTGTATATGGAAGCAGAAAAGGCCGGCTACCATTTTGCTTTTTCTAGCAGGCCCAAAATTATCCCTCTGCCTTTTGCAAAAGAAGTTCGTTCAACCACATATTATCTACGTCATTGTTTTTCTAACCACAGTGTGTAAAATGTCTTTTTTTGTTTTTTTTTTTAACCCAGGCTTGGGTACGTTAGAAATGGAGACTTGACTCCTAGACTTACATTGAGAGCTTGAATGGTAGGGCTCAGGTAGGGCTTCTTCTCTGAGAGACCTGACAAGCATCTACATCATTTAAGCCTCAGTGTAGAGATTCTCTCCCATCCCCTTGTTCACTCCTCAGGATTGGCTTTGAACTTTGAACATAGTATGAAAGGATACATACTGAAGTTGAGTTTAGCAAATATAGACTGAGGACATTTTAAGTACTGAGGCACCAAAAATATGTACAAGATTATGTGTGAGTCCTGCCCTCAATGAGCTTACATCCTAGTATAGGAGACAGATCCCCATACAGATAGTTATAGAATAACTAGAGAGACATGTGATGCCTACCACAGAGACTTAGAAGACAGCTACCTAACCTGGCCTAGAGAACTCAAGGAGACTTCCTGGGATATCAGACACATAAGCTGCCTCTCTTAGGAAGGGCAGAAATTAGCCAGGTAGAAAACTTCAACCCCACTTTGCTAGACTTTGAGCCTATCTTGCTGTTGATGTAGCCCAGGTCATGAATTTACCCCTTAGACATGCTATTTGCAAAGAACACATGTCCCCACATTCTTCACCTTAGCTATGTATTGCAAATATTGTTGTTTTGCTGGTCAAAGGGATTAGCTCACTTTAACATTTGTAAAGAAACACTTGAATTTATATGGGTATAGTAAAGATCTCACTTTGTATAAGAAAATAATAGACCATAAATGAATGGTCTAATTGATAAAACACAAAATGCAGGGTTGATTAGTCATTTTTTATTCATTTGTTGAATTTGGAAACACTATATACTACCTTCCAACATTAATTAGATATTTTAACATTGATATACAACTCAAATATTATCCTTTCTCATTCTTGTTTGGCTATGTGAAATGTGAGAACAATTAAGAAATCTTTTTCAAGTGAGAAAACAAAGTCCAGAGGATCTCTTTGCTACCATTTATTTTAATGAGAAAAATGGCAGTAATATTATAGGGAATAAAATATGGTTTGTTTGTTTTTTGGGAGTGCCGAAACCCAGGAACAAACCATAAAATATATTTTTATTCTATAATATGGCCTTAGAGTTACATATACTGGAATTTGTACATAGCATTTTGAGAATTGATAATTCTTTTAGACAGGTAATAATACTACACTGCAAAAAGCCATTTCTGGAAAACCTAGAAAGTTGTTTAGTGTCTCCATTTGGCTCCTTGTCAGCCCAGTTCTGCACTGGGTTAAAATTTCTCTCTTTTTGTTGCACCAGGGCTGAGATGGACAACACTGTTTTTCTTAAATATGCAAAGTGCGAGACTAAGCACAATGACTTTTTATTCTGGGTTCAAGGAGGAAAGAGTTCAAAATTAAAATTTCACATTATCGAATAGCCAAAGCCCATATTCAAAATAAGTTATCAGAAAAACAAATAGAAATACAATAAAGCAAATAGACTAAATACTATATGCAGTCATCTTATTGAACCAACCTGACTAAGTAAGATGCAAATAAAAAACTTTATTCATCTGCCAACACTTCAAACTTGCTGTGTGGGGCAGATTCTTTTAATCTCCAGGGTGAAATCTTGAATGAATCTCATAGAATGCCTGTCCATTTAAATCACAAGAGCAGTCTCTTTTAAATAATTAAGCTGTCTAATTCAGTGTGATATTAAAAACTTCAAATTTTTATCCACTTGGAGCATCTCCCTTTTCCTTAGCTCAGTACTTCTTTGGTCTGAAAGCCAGTGGTAGGTAAGGGGCTTGTGGTTGGCTTCTTCTTACTGACCAGCTCCTCCCCTACCCTGCTGTTTCTGACCTTCCAGAAATGGTCCCAGGAAGGAGAGAGGATAAGGAGAAAGCAGCTGATACTATTGTGATCCAGACCCCTGAGCTTGGTGGATATTCAGTGCTTCCTTTTACTCTCAATGGGTACATCTGTGGGTTTCTTGGAGATTCTCTCCCTGGGGTTTTGCAATGGTGATTCATGAGGCAAGGGAATTCTTGTCCTTAGAGTTCCATTCAAGCTGGTTCCAGAGCTCTCCCTCTTTCTGGTTTATTGGCCCACAGGACAAAAAAAAACCCTGCCTCTCTGTCTGTTCTGATTCACAGCCTTTCTTATCAGTCTTATGCTCTCCGAACTCCAGGGAGCATATGTTAGATCACTCAAGTGATCCTCTTGAAGCCCTTTTAGCTTAAAATGAGAGGGAGAGGGTGAGCACCCTTCTCCATTCTCCACAGCATTCCCATGATTCTCTTGAAAGGATTTTTTTTCCCTCTCAAAACTCTTAAGCCTCTTCTCTTTAATCATAAGCTATTCCTTATCTTCTTGATTTATATTATGAGCTAACGGTTGCAAGATTGGTTTTCAGTTATCTCCTTAGCAAATCCTTTACTTTAGCACTTTATAATAAGGATTTGGGCACCTGTTTGGTTCCTCTTGCTCTGGGACCTCAGCTGATCCTGAGGCAGCAAGAGTCTCATTTTAATATTCTCTTACATAAACCAACTGGGAAAATAGCTTTAACCAGAAGATGATATTTACCAGGAATTTACAAAGTGGACATGAAGTCTGAATTCCCTTTCCTCCCTCCTTTGTCCTTGCAGGGACCAGCTGGGTGAGATGTCATACACCACAATGTGTATCAAGGAGTCTCTCCGATTGATCCCTACGGCCTTATCCATTTCCAGAGAACTCAGCAAGCCCATTACCTTCCCAGATGGACACTCCTTGCCTGCAGGTTTTTGCATTCTTTTCCTAAGCAGTTGCTAGAGACTATGGGATCCTGGGGACCCCAGTAAAAAGGCAAGTGGGCTTCTCAACTCTTGGAGAAGTCAAAAGACAATTCTTAGAGCAGCTGGCTTAAGATTGGGCACCTATTAAGTAAGAGCTCAGTGAGTAATGCCTTGATCAGATGTGGATTCCAGAGACTTTTCCAAAGGCACATAGCCATTTGCAGCAAAACTATCCCTACAATCTGTGTCACCAGAATCCGAATCCAGGGTTTCTTCCATTGTGGAACATTATATCTAAGATAATCCTTGTTTGGCTGAGTTTGAAACCCAGATGAGACTTCATGGGAGATGAGCACCATTACCTTTATATAGAAGACCCAAAGAAAGTCTTCAGCTTCATCATCACAATAATATTGCCTCAATAAGGGTGCACTTAAGAGTTTACATAGAGCCTTCAAATATATTATCTCATTTTCCCCCTTGGAACATGATCTTAGCAGACGTTTATATAGCGCTTTGCAGTTTACAAAGCACTTTCAAATACTTTTGGTTTAGCCAAAAACCCAGTTGGGGGACCCCGGTGTGCAATGAGCAGAGCCAGAATTCGTGCAGAGGTCCCAGTGCTCTTCAGAACAACAGGGGCTTCTGAGCAGGGCAAATGGGAGGCAGGGGTCACGTGAGATACCCTTCACTTATCTGCTTCAGCATTCTATTAAGTCTTGCCCTTGGAAACAAGCCAGCAGGATTGCTAATAACAAACGCCAGTAATGTGTCACTTACTGTGACTTTGTTGACAGAATAGGAATTAATTTACCAGCATTATTTCTGGTAACCAAATTCCAAAATTCTCTCTCTTGTCTTTTTTTTTTTTAAATCCCGAAACTGCTATTTGCCAAAATTTCTCACTCTCTGTATATAAAATGCACCAACAGAAACCTGTCATTGGATTTGCACTATGGAATTATGGTTCTGTTTTTATGTACCCTGTCTTTAGTGGATACTTGATAGTCCACTAATAGATATACGGTAGTTCCCACTTATCCACAGTTTTGCTTCCTGTGGTTTCAGTTGCCTTCACTCATTTGGGGTCCAAAACCCTTATTTTACTTAATAATGGCCCCAAAGCACAAGAGTAGTCATGCTGGCAATTTGGATATGCCAACAAGAAGCTGTAAAGTGCTTTCATAAAGAGAAAAGGTGGAAGTTCTCAACTTAATAAAGAAAGAGAAAAAAATCATTTGCTGAGTTTGCTAAGATCCGTGGTAAGAATAAATCTTCTATTCATAAAATTGTGAAAAAGGAAAAAGAAATTTGTGCTAGTTTTGCTGTCTCACTTCAAACTGCAAAAGTTATGAGTGTGTGATAAGCGCTTACTTAAGATGGAAAAAAGGCATTAAATGTGTGGGTGGAAGACATGAACAGAAAATATATTCCAATTGACAGCAATTGCACCAGTGCTGTACCAGAAAGCGTGGAGCTTATATGAAGATTTCAGCAAGAGATCCACTGAAATGAGTGCCACCAAAGCATTTACTGCAAGTTAGGGATGGTTACACAGATTCAGGAATAGGTTTGGCATTTTAGCATCTCATGTCAGTATGAGAAGTGTGAGTACAGTACAATAAGATATTTTGAAAAACTACATTCATATAACTTTTTTTTACCTTTTAAAAAAATTTTTTTAAAGTATACAATACATTGGTTAGACATCTATATAGTTCATAAAACGATCCCCCCAATTGCTCCCTCCCTCCCCTGACCCTCCACCTAGCCAACATATTAATGCTAACTGCATTCCTAAGCCGTGCTCCCCAACCCCATGACCATCCATCATCTACTAATTTGTACTTCTTTAACCCTTCACCCATTCTCCCAGTCCCGCCAAACGCCCCAACCCTCTGTCTGACACCAAATTGTCCACTACATTTCTGAGTCTGTTTTTGATTAGTTTGTTCTTTTTATTCCTTAGATTCCACATATAATTGAAATCATATAGTGTTTATCTTTCTCTGTCTGACGTCAATACCTTCTGGGTCCATCAAAGCACTATCTTTTCCCATCCCTTCCTTTTCACATGTAAAGGTCTTGTTTTCTTACCCTTTCAGCCACTCTATTTTTTGGTCGGAGCACTTAATTCTTTTCTATTTAAGGTACTTATTGATAGGAATGTAATTGTTACCATTCTTTATTCCTGCTTTTGGTACATGTTTTTTCTTCTTAAAGAAGGCCCTCCAACATTTCCTGCAATACTGGCTTGGTGGCCATAAATTCCTTAAGCTTATTTTCATCTGGGAAGCTCTTTATCCGTCCTTCAACTCTAAATGATAGCCTTGCTGGATAAATTATTCCTGGGTCTTCCTGTCAAATATTTTTTGCCAAGCCCTTCTGTCCTGCATAGTTTCTTTTGAGAAATCAGCTGCAAGTCTTATGGGTGCTCCCTTATTTGGAATTATTTGTTTTCCTTTTGCTGCTTTTAATACACTTTCTTTGTATTTAAACTTTGGCATTTTATTTATGATGTGTCTTGGTGTGGGCCTCTTTGGATCCCTGATTTTTGGAATTCTCTGAGTTTCCTGGGGTTGTATGTCTATTTCCTTCACCAGGTTAGAGAAGTTTTCCATCATTTCTTCAAATAGCTGTTCAACATCTTGATTTTCTTCAGTTATGCCAATCAGATGAATATTTGGAGCTTTGACAGTGTCTCATATCCTCCTTAAACTATTTTTATAGTCCTGGCATCTTTTTTCTTGCCATTCTGATTGAGTGTCCTTGGCTTTCCTGTTCTCTGGATAGGGCATTTGATCCTCTTCTTTATTCCCTTTGTTTATTCCTTTGTTTATTCCATTTAATATACTTCTCACCTCAAATAATGTGTTTTTCATTTCTGACTGGTTCCCTTTTATAATTTCCACTTCCATTTTTATGTTTTTCATCTTTTTGTTAAAGTTCTCACTTAATTTATCTACACTTCCCAGAAGTTCATTGAGCATCTTTATAACCAGTGTTTTGAACTCTGCATCTGTTAGATTATTTGACTCCATTATATCTGGATCTCTGTTCTCTTCTCTCATATGGTTTCCGCTTCTTTGTGTTCCCATTTTGCTGCCTTTCCGTGTCTGTTTCTATATACTAAGCAAAGCTCCTAAGTCTCGCGGTCTTATTAGTGCGGATTTGTGAAGTAGATGTCCAGTGGCACAGTCCTAAGAGGGGTTCAGCTGCAGGCCAAACTTAGCCCAAGCCTCTACACCTCCTGTTAAGACTCAGCAAGCAATCCACAGATGCTGTGCTTATAGTTGCCTCAAAAGTCCACACCAGAAACTGAAGCCAGCTGCCTCCTCCAGTGTGAGTCCCAGCAAGGAGCACCTGACTCGCTGAGGATATAGCTGGATGTGGTTTTGGTGGGGCCATGAGTTGGGAGAGGTGCAGTTTCAGGGAATCCTCTGGGAGGAGCAACCTCTGTTTTCCAGTTTGATGGCGTCTGGGCATTGGGAGCAGGGGCTTAACAAGGAACAATAGATACCACCGGCACTTCTGTACATAGCGAGTCTTGCCTCGGCCCTCACTCCAACAATGGCTCCTTGTAAGTCCCTAGTGCCCCCTGCGCGCAGCTGAATCAGCGCTGGTGCTCAGAGTGAGCAGGTCCATCACTGCAAAAATCTACTCGTGGACACGGCCCCTTTAAGAGGCGTCTGCCACTACCGCAGCCTCCGTCTCACTCAGCTGCTCGAGACGGCGTAGCCCCACGTCTTCTTGCCGTCCTACCTTCTGCCGTTGCAGGGTGCATTCTTGGACTTTTCCCTAGTTGTATGGCTTATTCATTTAGATCCCAGGCGATTTTTCCTCGCTGCTGCTCCTTGTTTCCATTACAACTTTGATTTGGTCACCAAAGGGATGAACAGAGCCTCTATCTATGCCATTGTTTTTCTCTTCTCATATAACTTTTATTACAGTATATTGTTATAATTTTTCTATTTTATTAAATAGAACAATTAGTTGTTGTTAATCGCATACTGTGCCTAACTTGCAAATTAAACTTTATAATATGGATGTATGTATAAGAAAAAACATAGTGTATATATACAGTTTGGTACTATCTGTGGTTTCAGGGTTCCACTGAGACTCTCCCATGGATAAGGGGGGACTACTGTATAAGTAAGTTCCAGAGGTAGCAGAAAGCATAAGCATGGGTTATCATTTTGACATGATACCAATAGCTCTTTAAGATAGGATCATACAACAACAACTACATTCCTGTCAATAAATACCTCAAATGAAAAAGAATTAAGAGCTCCAACTAAAAGATAGAGTGTCTGAAAGGATAAGAAAACAAGACCCCTACATATGAAAAGGAAGGGGATGGGAAAAGATATTGCTTTGATGGACCCAGAAGGTATTAAAGTCAGACAGAGAAAGATAAACACTATATGATTTCAATTATATGCGAAATCTAAGGAATAAAAAGAACAAACTAATCAAAAACAGACTCAAATATAGTGGACAATTTGGTGTCAGACAGATGATTGGGCGTTTGGCAGGGCTGGGAGAATGGGTGAAGGGTTAAAGAAGTACAAATTAGTAGATGATGGATGGTCATGGGGATGGGGAGCATGGCTTAGGAATGCAGTTAGCATTAATATGTTGGCTAGGTGGAGGGTCAGGGGAGGGAGGGAGCAATTGGGGGGATCGTTTTATGAACTATATAGATGTCTAACCAATGTACTGTATACTTGAAACTAATTAAAATAAAATTTTCTGAAAAGATTGAATCATATATTAAATAGATCATTCCTTTGTAAACTAAGGTGCCATCAAACCTCACCCTCCCATGAGTCCTTCACTGCAAGCATCAGCTACAGCACACAGAACTCTGCCAGGAGCAAGCTCTTGCCCTTCGAGAAGAAAAGTCCTACTGAAGATTGGTATAGCAGTAGCCCACTGTTTGCTCTTTTTACTACAATCTCTTTTATTTCCTTCCTTTCTCAGGAATAACGGTGGTTCTCAGTATATGGGGTCTTCACCACAACCCTGCCATCTGGGAAAACCCAAAGGTATGATTTTCTTACACATAAATACTTCAAAGAACTAATGCTGTGCAATTCACTTTTTGTTAGCTGTACATGGAAGTGGCAAACAATACACCAAACAAAAATAAACATAAAAATAAAAAAATGTAAAACTTTTCCACAGAAAGAAAACTGTCCTTTCCCCCAATTTCTACTTTATCTTTGCTTTGCATGAACAAATTAACATAATGCCACACAATCTGCACTAAATTACTACAGCGACTTAACAAGAGAGAATCTGTAAAGGCAAAAAGATGTGTAGCATACCTGAGTTCCTTGAGTCAATGTTCTCAAAACTCTAGACATACGTACAAGATTTTTGGAAACATGGTGGAGTGAGAGATCTCTCCCCTTGAAACAACAATAAACTAAACAACTAAAACTCAACAAAAAACACCCAAACTGCACACCAGCACATCGGTGCGTGGGATCTGCGCATAAGAGCTACCACCGGTCAGAACGCCAGGTGTTGGGTGGTGGACTGGGAAAAATAAAGAAGCTGCCTCCCACAGCCGCCGGAGCTCCCTGCAGAAGGAGAGGAAGAGGAGAAGGAGCAGCGAGTTCCCTGGACAGCCTTGCCTGGGAAAGTTGTGAGCTCCCTGTGGCCAGCTGGTGGCAGGGTCCAGTCATCAAGGCAGAAAGCAGAGAAGCAGCCAGCAGAGAAACAACAGTTAATTTTTACCAGCCATGTTGCAAAACTGAGGCTGAGCTGCAGCCCCCAACCCCCAACCCAGAGGGCCCCTCCCTCCATAGCCTCTGAGAAGGAACACCACAGAGCCCCAGGAGAATCTGAGCAAACACTATCAAAACTGTTGCTAACACTGACAGGGACTGAAACTGAGAGTAGTGAGCATGATTAAATATCTCTCAGAAAATAAAAAGGCATTTTTAAAGTAAAGCATAAAGCAGGAATCCAAGAGGCTTAGACGCCACTTAATGGAAACCAACAGAAAAGCACCTTCTTTGC